AACTTTTCATGGCTGTCTCGAGCTTTACTTGAATAAATTAAATAAAATTTTTAGTACAATATTAATGGTTATACTTCTAATAGAGAAATATTATTTGGTTGATGTCCCATCATCTCTAAAGGATTCAAAGTTGGTCCCTGCCTTTTCTGTTGCTTCCTTTCTTGTTCACAATTCTATGTACTACATCTTTTAGTACAGTTAGGTTTTTATCCTTGCAGTTAAATCACTTCAAACTAGATTTAGTAATGCAGTACGCTAGAACTTCCCTTATTATAAATATTTTGACAGTTATCCTCATGGGATTGTACGCAAATCTTTATTCATATATTAATTGATCGACATGTATTCTTACGTGATTGTCCGACTTGACTCAAGATAGATTTTGATCATTAAGGTTTTGCCCCTGTTATTTGGGATAAGAGTAAAAATTTTCTAACTTCGGTGAATTTTAGTTGAAGTAATCAAAGTTTAGGTTTGTTTTATTTTTTATGTTCCTGTTTATTTGTACTTTATTCTATCCTTTAAAAAAAATACAAAAATCTATAAATAATGTTGTATCTTTTACTGTAGTTGCATATTATTTATTAGTTGCTGTGTTGTTATTGTGTTTTTCTTACTTTTTTTCTTTTTTTTTTTTTTTGCTTTTATTATTTTAAAATATAGTCACCATTTGCACACCTATCATTATATGTGTGGGATCTTTTTTTTTTTGCTTTTATTATTTTAAAATATGGTCACCATTTGCACACCTATCATTATATGTGTGGGAGTATTTTAGGTGAAATATTGTCATTTGACCCTAAAATTGTAAAAGCTTTGAAAAAAATCTAAAAAAATAAAAATAAAATAAAAAATAAACATTTAAAGAAGGAGAACCCTTAGGAAGCTCACATGAAACCTCTTAGGGAGTTTGCTAATCTTTCAATAAAAAGAATCCACATGAGTATCCAGTATCGAATCATAGAAGCCAACACATTTAACTGAGACCTTCCATAATCCATATGGTTCAATATAAACAATTTGGGGGAGCACTCTCTGAAGATCCAAACCCACACTTAGCTAAGTTTCTAGAATATTGTGCCACTTTTAAGTATAATGATATCCCCAATGATACCATTAGATTGATGTCTTTCCTTTCTACTTAGGGATAAAGCCAAGATGTGGTTCACCTCCTTAACCTCAGGATCCATCACCACACAGAGTGACCTAGCCTAACTAATTTAGATTGCCAAACTTTGGAGTGACCCTGACTTAGGAAAACTTATCTTACTTTTTGAGATAAGACAAGAGAGACTATCACCACCCTTTTCCCAAATACTCCAAGAGCATATAATGGACTAATAGTTGTTCAAGTTTATAGAATTTCTTAATAAACTAACAATTAATAATTGTTAGATAAAAGCCCTAAAGTATATGTTATGTTAAGATTTATGAAGGATGTCTTCGATAAGAAAATAAATCTAGAAGATTGTGAGGTACTTGATCTGATTAAGGAGTGCAGTGTTATCTCACGTAAGAAGTTAACCAAAAAACTAAATGATTCAAGTGGCTTCAACATTCCTTGTACCATAGAGAACATATTTAATCAAAGAATTTTGTGTGACCAAAGTGCTAGCATCAATCTTATGTCTTTGACTATTTTTAATATGCTAGGATTTAGAGAGGTTCAACCCACCACTGTGACCCTCTATTTAGCTGACCACTCTATGATCTATTCTAAAGGGATAATGAAGGAAATTCTGGTTAAAGTTGATAAGCTCATCTTCCTTATCAATTTAGGGTATGTTTGGGATAGCTTATAAGTGCGGTGACATTTTGAAAACACTGTTGTCCCCGTTTGGATAGTGCATTCAGGTAAATTATCAAAAACACAATTTTCATTTTCCTTAATAGATGGGGTAGGGGGTCGATCCTGTGGCCCGCATCTCCTATTAGCGTTCAGAGTTTATTTCCTCACATGCCCCTTCCACTGCCCCCGCAAAGTTTTTATAAAACGATGCATGGACATCGAGGAGGCAAGCAGTGGTGGTATCAGCTATATGGTAAAGGGAAAGATCTCTTTCGACTCTCGCGAACCATCTATCTCTGTTGATCTCATAGATCACGTCCACATTCTTCCTTGCTTTATCAAGCACGATGGTGCTTGTCTAGTCTCCCAGGATTTTAAACCGGGAAATTTGGGTAGCTCATATTGTTTTCTTAACCAACATCGCTTTCTTGTTCCTTTTTCAAACATTTAGTTTGGCATAGATATTGTTGCAGATGGCTTGATCTTGGAAGAGGTGTTGTTCAGAGGGAGGAAACTCCATGAGTTACTGCTTCGATCCCTAATGGTTTCCATGATATGTTTTTGGACAGTGCTTTTGTCCAAAACACACACATTTTTATTATGAAACACAAAAATGTTTTACTGATATTTAACTCGATAATCAGAATGTGTTGATATATTTCCTTATTAAAAGGTATGTTTTGGAGAAAAAAACTGTTGCAGGGAAGAAGTTTGGACAACAACTTCGCATTGAGAGTGATTGAAGGATCTCTGCCCTGATGAGAACCAGTCGACTAAGGTGAGCTCTTCTTCTGATCCTACCTCCATGATCACGAACAACAAAACTACATAGTGGTAGAATGATCATTTATTTAGAAATAACTACAAATCAACTGTTTTCAAAATGCACAAACCAAACAACCAACCAGCTTATTCGGATCAGCTGCTGATCAACAACTTAATTTTCAAAATGCACAAACCAAACAACCAGCCAGCTTATTCGGATCAGCTGCTGATCAACAACTTATTAAGATAAGTTGCTTATCTGAATAAATTGGATAACCTGCAGCTGCCCCAGACAGACCCTTAGTTGTTTTGGATGTAAAGGAAGATAAAGAAGTTCTCATTATACTTGGAAGACCTTTTTTTAGCAATTAGATGAGTGATGATTATCGTACAAAAGGGATAAGTTACTGCGAGAGTGAATGATCTGGAAGTGATTTTTAATTTTCTAAAATATATGAAGTTTTCCCAAGACTTTGGGAATGATCAATTCCATAGTGTGGTTGTAGTGGAAGAGGTAGATGATTGCCAGTTTTTGAAAATGAAGAATTGGACCCCGAAGAGTAAGCTGTTGTGGACAAATTTAATCCAAACATTACTAAGGAAGAATCTAATCTTCTTTTTGAGTCAAACCCTAAAGTTGTTCTGAAGATAGTTGAGCATATGGACACCAATGCCCTATCAAGTCTATAGAACACCCATAGAAGGACCCCAAATGATAGGATTGGAAACTTTTCATGAGTAGAGAGAGTGTGTAACTTGGTAAGAGAATCCTTTATTGTGCTCTACTAAGTCGAGTGAATTACAATAGAGGGAATTATTAAGAACTTTGGAGCAAGAGGTGCTTTTTAGAGTTTATCATCTGATTTGATCCTTCGACATATCCTTAAGAAAATCACTGTTGGGGCGAGACTAAGAAAATACTGGAAATTGTGAACATGAGTGTGAGGAAGAACATATATTTTCAGGAAGATCCTAGAATAAAAAGGACATGTGATGACTTAAAAAATCCTCCTAGGTTAATTAGGGATTATAGAGAATATAATTTGATCATGGAGAATCCTTTTAGGCTTGATTTGGTCTGGCACAGTTTGGATGAGGATGTGAAATAAGCACCATCTTTAGAGACAATCCAAGCGTTATCTGCTGATTTGATTTTGTTATGTATTTCTTTACTTTGAATTTGTTTTGAATTTCTTTGAATTTGCTTTTTATGTGATTTTGATTTGAAGATTGTCATGTTAGTTTTGTTTAGAGACCTTACGATAATAGGTTTCTCAGTGCTCCGTCAATCTTTCAATGATTTAATTTTGTTGTGATGTTATTCCATGTTATTACATGCTATTTCCTTTTATTCTTGCATTTTCTCATATGACATGCATATGATAGAAAATAAGTTTGGGGGAGGGAGTTAGACCCGTACACTTGCCTGAGAGCAATTCACATATTCAAACGGTTAGCTGGATTTTACTATAATGATTCATGATATGAATCCTAATAATTTAACAATAGTATATAATATTTTACTTAAAAGATGTAGATATTCATTAAAATGGAGGATTAAAATTGATTTTCTAATAATCTAGTCATTCACTTTATGAACTTCTATATGAACCCTAAAAAATCTTAAAATAATTAAAAGAGAGTAATTAAATAGAAGTAATTAAACAAGGATAATTAAGTCTTTGATATTTCATCTTAAATAATTTAATTGATATTAACTTTTAATTAGATTTTAATTTTCTGGACTTAGTATTGAGGATTCTTTAAGGATTAGAAGTTGGGAGAGATTAGACATTCCAAATCCTTAAAAGAAATATGCTCAAAATTAGAGATAATTTTGGACATAAAAAAAAGAAGAAAAAGTAAAAGAAAAAGATAAAATTGTGCAAGACACAAAGTTTTTTTCTTAAAATCTTTAATATCTCTGTAATTATAGACGGAACCAGTTGCAAAGCCAAGTTGTAGACTTGAGCCATAATGAAAAAACTCTTCTAGGAATGTAATAAAGTGATTATTGTTAAATATCATTAAAACATAGAAAACGATTAAGATAAGATTAATACCTCAGTAATTAAGAATATCACTGATTTTAAGATCAGAATTAAAAATTCTCCATTTAAGCAAAAGCAAGTTAATGGAGTGGTTTTTATGTCAAACTAATATGTTCTAATTTCTATTGAGAAGAATTTCATAAATAAATTGATAAATATTTGGTATTATAATTATCCTTTCATTCCTAAAGACAATTAACACGTTCTGCTATGAATAACAAGTAAGAAGTCAGACTTTTTCAGATAACCAATAACCAAGAATCGAAACTTCTTTAATTTGACTAAATTTAAGTAAATGAAAAAAAATAAAAATAAAAAAAAAAAACTCGCTTCCAACTCCATGTGTCGATGTGTTAATGGTTTCTATCACTATCCTGAAACCCATATATCTTTCCGAAGATACCGGATAAGGCACTTCTGTGTGGCCTCTCTGATTCTTCCCTCACTAATTACTTTCCATCTTCCGCGAAATGCGATTTCTACGGTTTATCTTGTCGGCGACGACGATTCTCGAGACCTAAAATCCATATTTAAACCTTCACTCTTCTTTTGACTGTTGTGATGAACCCTTGCACTATGGCGATCAGCACTTCTGTCTCCTTCGCTGCTTTGGGGCAACTTTCGTCGGTGAAATCGGGTCTCACCTCGACTCGCTCCTCGGAGTTTCCTAGACTCAGAGGGTTTAGGTTCACAACCTCGAGTTCGAGTTCTCAAGCTATTGTTTTCTGCTCTTCGGCTCCGTCCGGTTGGATCTTCAACCTTTCATAGTCGCTTTTTCGTTCTTATCGGGGCTGTCACTTTTGTCTAACCGGCGAACTGTTTGATTTATAAAATGAAGTAAATATATTATGCAAATTTAATTGTTCATTCTTTATTTTCTGCCTCCCCACTGAAAAGTTGTTGGTGCTAGTTGTATAATGGCAAATCAAGCGAGATGTTTGATAACTTGGAGTAGAAAAATGCCATATTTTAGTTCCTTTGAGGAAGACATAATGCTGATTACTTTTTCCGCATTACATATAATTGTCGAATAAGAGCCATCTTTTTCAGATTGATTAGAATTAGGTTCCAGCTCATTGGCTCAAAATTAGGTCGTCCAATGTGGTCTTAGAACCATCTGAGATCCTGTCAGATCAAGAATTGGGTCAGGATATATATTGGGCCCAAAGCAAGATTAGAAAATCCATTTCTATCGCTTTGATTCATCAAATATATGGAAACCAGGAGAACCACGGAAAGTGAGCTCATGACAGCTAGAGGAGAAAGAAAAGGGGCTGAATTAGGCAGGCTGAACTCTACTGCACTTTTTGTGGGGGAAACAAGCAGGGTACATGCATACTTAAGGCAAAGTTGATGACTACACAGGAAGCAAGCGTGCGTCCCTTGCCTCTAGGGTGGTTGCATATTATATGCCCCAATGAGGAGCGACTTATTTGAGGTTTTTAGTAATTGTTTGCTTCCAAGTTAACAATCTTTAATAGGACTTAACTATGGAACTTCGTGTAATTGCTGCATTTCTTTCCTTGGCCATTACTTGTCTAGTGAAGACCACAATTACACAACTTGAAGCGGTGTTATGTAACCACTATATCTTAATTTATGACTGCTGCCATTTGGATTCATTGAAATTGGTATTTGAATATGGTAGCCAAATACCTTACATCACTGCACCTGCTTGTCCGATATAAATAGCACTTTCAATAAGTGACTATTGAAGCTATTGAGGCTTTCTCGGAGATCTCTATTGTGGAAGATATATTTGGCACTAGAGATTATTTGATGTTGAGTTAAAATACATCGCAAATTATTATTGAGGATGATGGTATAATGGATTACATCTTTTTGTTTATGGTTGAGGAGCCCATATATAATAATGTCAAGTGGCTTTTTTGATTAAAGATTGAGAAGGAAACTTGAAGATCCCTTTTAGACATGGCATAACTACTTTGGAGTGAAGTTTGTGTTGATTGATGATGAGTCAACCACTAAGCAAGATGCTTGGTAGTTGGTACGAGAAGAATAATTCTTGGCATCGAAGTTACCATTGCCAAGGAGGATGAGAGGTGGCTTTTGCAAGAGAGGGAACACACATTTCACCACCTAATGATGCTATGACTTATAGGGTTGAGGGTCCTCTAATTGAGTCATCAATTATTCTCTCAAGGCGGAGAGTATGGAGGAAAACCCTAAAATACAATCTTGACTCCTAAGTAAGTCTTGATTATGGGAGGTAAATAACTATGGAGTATTTTATAGACATTCAAGATCCACTAGTCAAAACAATTTGAATTTTAGGAATGTCGTTAGGTTTTAGAAGTCTATTTCATGAGGGATATCAAAGATCGCTGCTCTATTAGTTTCTCCACTAAAAGCAGCAAGAGGTAAACTATGAAATGGCTAAGTTAGAGGAAGTGGAATAATAGATCCAATATCAAGGTTTAAAAGCTAACTAGCCCTTGATTTCATGAAGAAATTGTATCTCTAAGTCATTTACTATATCAACGAGACTACTTTTTTATTGGTAAATTTGGCAACTTTCAACTTTCTTTAGTAGAGTGCGGATCTTGACATCTAACCCAATTTCTCTTAAGCCTCTTTTTGTTAGAGTCGAGGAACGGTATACTACTTTTTTTTAACAACTAAATTATACAAAGTCTTTGGTCAATAAATATAAAATCATAAACTACTAAATGAGCTCTAAAATGCATAGCTAATTTATGACTTAAATAATAAAAATGACACAATCTGACCCATCATGATACTTAACTCAAAAGTGATATATTGACATGAAAGCATTCAAAATACACATTAGTTCTCACCATACTTGAAAATGACTCTCAAAGCTGAAAGGTTATAGGTACTATCAATCTAGAGTCAAAATTCAATAGCATAATGATTACATCTATTAATATTATTATGCTTTGCATCGTGTAATTTAATTTGGCGGGGATGCTCCCTTGTAGTCCATATGGGACCTACATGCCCTAATGTTTTTTTTTTGAAAAGATTTTTGAATTTTCTATTAACATATAGATACTTATGTGTCTTATTTTATGTTAATTTTTTTTAATTTTTTTGATTACATTTTTTTTCTTAATCATCATTTTCATATTTTTCTAATTTTTAATTCTTCTCTATTTTTTTTAGCTTTGAATCACCAATTTGCAATCACGCTCGTGTTATCAATGCTGATCCCACTTTGTGTCACAAACTTAGGCAACTAAGCTAAAATATGAACACACTTCCAAATGACGAGGTTGAATATGTATAAAAGTCAAGATTTATGATGTTTACCATCACCACACTTATGAAAGTTGGAACCTAATCTAGTTACAATCTAAGGAATAAGTCTTGTTGGGAACTACATTATGATGGTGTGCCATCTTTACAAAAAGGTGAAGGAACACAATTTATTATCCAAGGAAAAGTAGAAATCGAGATAATTTTCAACTTATGACAAATGAATATGCAAGGAATAACTATTTCTTCTAGCCATAAAAGCCTTGTGAAAGAGGGAGAATTAGAGAGATTCAACCATTACAATTGGGGAAGAGAGAAAGTTGGGTAGGCTAGATAAGTTGAAGTGCCCACACTTTTTCCTAGGGATCATGCAGGGTAGGCATATACTCAAACATGGTTCCATACTTGATTGACTTTCTAAGGCTAAAAATTTTAAGCTAAAACATCTTTCCCGTGAGGATTGAGGGGCTTGTGTTTGTTGGTGACCATTAGGCTCTACATCATAGTCTTCAAAGCATCATTATGAGATCACCTCAACATAAACAACACACTACCCACCTTTACTGTTTCTAATTTGATTGACCTCAATCACACCAATTGGAGGGGTGTGTCATAAACACTAGGTTTTGCTCATGATATTACCATTACATATGAATTTGGTTGAACAAGGTAGAGGAGACTTAGATGTTGAGTTGGCTTCTCATCAACTTAATTAGCTCCACCCGTCTAGTTGGAAGCGATTTTGGACGTATGCTAGCTTGCTGTTGTATTGGAATATGGTTTGATGGTCTTAGAGGAGTGTTCAGTTGTTGTACTTTTTATTATTCTTGTTCAAATTTTATTTGTAATGTTTGGTAGTTGTTTAGAAAAATAAACAAATCAAATTCATGTTGCTTATTACAACTTCACAAATCATTGTTATGGTTGGAAGATTTTTTGAAACAACAAGAGTCTCGCTTATTCTTATTACTTTTCAACTTAAATTGAATGAACAATTTTCATTGAAGAAACTCATATTTCACTTGAACTTCACCTATAATTTACCTCTTAACTTGATATTGGAGCCTTATGCATCTCTTTGGAGGATGAGTTCTGTGAGGCCTTAATACAAGTGCACATTAATGGAAGATGGCCTAATTAGGCCACTATAAGCTACAAAACTAAAAAATCTCTCCTACATACTACCATACTAAATTTCAGCTCAATCCCTTAAAACCAACAAAAATAAGTCTTGACCCTTTTGATTACTTTCCTTCTTAATGAAATTGTAGAAATCTATAAATACCATTTTTTTATACAAGAAACAACCCATGTTTTTTGGTTCAGTTTTCTGTGAGCCAACACTCTTCACCAGTAATTTTTCTTTCAATATAGTGAATTCTCCTCCTTTAACCGTGATTTTTTTCCTTAGATTTTTTAAAGTAAAATCAGTGTCATTTTATATATTTCATTATTCATCACATTGATTTTACAAGTGATATCTAAGCTAGATTTTTTGAAGAAGAAGCAACGTAGAGATTGAAAGGATTTAAATCTCATATTGATTTTCATCTTTTAAATCATATTTTACAAGATGTTTTGAATGAGAAGATAGCCATTGCATTGTGGTTGAAATTGGAACAATTGTGTATGTAAATAAATTTAACCAGTAAGTTACATTTGCAACAGCCTTTGCACTCATATAGGATAGTGTGTGCCCTCCCATTGGATAGCGTTTTTCCTCCCATATGATGGTTGAAGGTATGCCTTTTGTAAATCACCTGACTATCTTTAAAGAAATTGTCTCTGATTCAGAGGCCATGGAGGTCAAATATGATGAAAAAATTTTATGTTAATCTTATTATATTCGTTGTCTTCATCATTGACAACATTTAAATATATCATCTTACATGGTCTGTAGATATTATTTTGGATGAAGTTTATGATGTTTTGTTCTCTAATGAGAAGAAGAATTGTAGCAACTTGTAGATGAACCTGTTGCTCAGGGAGGAGCCCTTATTATTCAAGGGAAGATAAAGGGTAATCAAAATACTAGTGCTGATGAAAAAGGTGATCAAAATCCTAGTGCTGATACAAAGGGTGATCAAAATCCAAGAATAAAGATAAGATCTACAATTACTATTAGATGAAAAGATACAAATGCTACAAATTGCATAATAAGAGACTACCAGTGCTAGTATACTCTTTGTTATATTTTAGTGAATTTTGTGATGATTGAGTTTTTGATTAGGCTTGCACGTTTCATATGCTTCCTAACAGAAACTGATTTTTTGAAGTTCTATGAGCACTATATGTTTGAAAAATAAAAGAGATTTAAGTTCAACAGATGCATACACAGTTCATAAGAAATGCTAGACTACATACATTATGATTTTTTAAGATCATCCACAATAACTTTTGAAGGCGGTGCTATACATTTGTTATTAATTATTAATGATTTTTAAAATAAAATTTGGGTTTTCTTTATGAAGAGAAATTGTGATCTATTTACTACTTTTAAAGATT